GGTTCTGCCAAAAAAAAAAAAAAAAGAATAAATGAAGATATAATTTGCAGCTGCACTAAGGGTCAGAGGGCAGAGTGATAAAGGGATATTTGTGTGTGATTAAAGTTAAGATGGTATAAATTCAAATTAGAGTTTTACAACTTTAAGATGTTAAGAGTCACTTCCCATGGTAGCCACAAAGAAAATATCTACGTACACAAGGAAAAATGAGGATTCAAAATGTATCCTACAAAAACCCCCAACTGAACACCAAGGAAGCAAAAGTGACACAAAACATGCCTTTATTTGTAATTACTTTAAATGTCAATGCAATAAACACTCCAATCAAAAGATAGATCAATGGAATGAATTTATAAAAGAACAGGCTCAAACTATATTTCGTTTGCAAGAGAATCACTTTAGGTCTAAGGACAGCCACAGGTTGAAAGGGAATGAGGTCAACGTAAACAGTAAGCAGATGTGTGCAGGAGCGCTAGACGGAGGGCAAGCGACGCAGGCCAAGCCCAAGCTGTGTGAGGACACAATGAAGGACATTTTGAAGCAAGGAGAGTCACTGCAACAAGAAGATAAAGGGGCCAGGGAGATGGCTCAGTGGAATAAGCGCTTCCCTGGCAAGTGCAAGGGCCTGAGTTCAATCAGGAAAAAAAAAAAAGACAACAAAAAACCAAGAAGATACAAATTACCAACACATACTCAGCAATGCTTACAACTGCCAAGCATGAACTCAATCATGGATGGAGGGAGCTGAAGGGAAGCCTTGCTGCGGTGCATCCTAAGAATTGGATTGTTTTTTCTTAAGGACAGGCTGCTTCTGGAACTTCTTCAAATTCCCTCCTCAGCTCAGATGAATGAAAAGAAAGGTCCCAACACCTCCACCACAGAAAGGAATATGCAGATGCTGGCCCCAAAGGTGGAGTATTGTTTCCACTAGGAAGGCAGAGAGACAAGAATGGCCCAGGATGAAATGGCAAAAATTTGTTGTAGTTTTTTTTGTTTGTTTAGTTTTTTTCTTTTTTGCTGGCTCAGCCCACCCTCTGGGTAGGGCTGGCGCCTTATGTGGTGCTGGAACCCAAATGCAGTCCTCTGAGCCTACCTAAGCTTGCCTAAGCAGGAGCTTTAGACCACTGAGCTATCTCGCCAGCCCCTGTAGTTTGGTTTTACAAGAATAATATAATACAGGACACATATTTTATAAGATAACTTATAATAGTCACCCAAATAATCATATACCAAGAATGTAGGAAATCTGTCCACACATTAAAGACCAAAGAATCCAGCTTTAGGCCTGATTCCAGGATAATGTCCTGCACGAGTCCAGCTGAAGACCTAACAGCGCCTCCCACAAGTCCAGCTGGAGGCCTAGAGCCCATGATGACGTCTCACTGTAGGCCTGTTTCTCTCGTTTTGAGCGTAGGTGAGAGTTACCTTAGTCACTCTTTTTTTTTTTTAGGCGAAACTAGGGATTGAACTCAGGCCCTTGCGCTGGCTAGGGAAGCGCTTATTCCACTGAGCCATCTCCCTGGCCCCTGTAGGCCTGTTTCATGTATCTGTGCTGCCAAGGCCCAAAAGTCAGTGGTGGACGCTAGAAAGTCTGGGCCAGCGGGACAAAGGATCGGTGGTAGCAGGCTGAGGGATCCGCATGATGCCAGGGAGCAATGCTCAAAGAACCAGAGCTCCCCCGAAAGGTCCCACAGCCATCCTCAGCGACAGCGAGGGCCTGAGCTCTGCCTGTAACAGCCAGGCTCCCATCAGGAAAGCCCGCACAAGCTTCTCCAAGAGAACCAAGCTTCCAACAGCTTCTCTTCTCCATTTGTGTGTGTGTGTGTGTGTGTTGCTAGAGATCGAACTCAGGACTTTGCGCTTGCCAGGCAGGCACTTATGCAGCTGAGCTGTATCCCTGGCCCTTCCTCTCCAGTTCTGCCTCGTATGCTGCTGGCAACAATCCTCGGGTTGGTCCCCCACACCCAGCACCATGCCAGGTCACACCACCAGCTGTCAATCCACATTTGCCTTGTCTCATTGTAGTCCCCCATCCCTCCTTACACTAAAATCTTTTGTGCACCAAAACAAGGAGGCAGAGATTTGAAGCAGCAAAAGGCCCCTCCATCTAATTCACAGCTAGCTTACAATAAATCCTTTCATGAGACTTCTGCACCCCAAAAGGCAGTAACAAAAACACTTTATACCCATTAAGATGGTATATTACCAGCTTTCCCATTGCTGGGACCAAATTCCCAACACGCACACTTTGAGAATTTTTACTTTTTTATTTTAGGAAAGGGTGTACAGGGTGTTCAGGGTCTCACTACTAGATTGGACTCGTAGTGATCTGCCTGTTTACAGCCTTCCAAGAGCTGGGATTACAGGCGCGTGCCATTAGCCCAGTCTCAATAGCCATCTCAGTGCGCCCCAGGGGCAGGGCCAGCATAGCAGGCCCTGGATCACATCCTCTGCCCCTGCGCCTGTTTGCAGGCACTTTAATCTGCTGAGCTGTTTGACCGGCCTGAGAAGTTAAATATTTTTAAAAATTATTTTCACTTTTTGATACAGGATCTTGCTACGCAGTTCAGACTTAGTGATCCTGTCTCAGATTACAGGTATGCACCACCACACCAAGTTCCAGGGCTGGCAAAGCACACCAGTTCTGGGGCTGGCATATGGTACTGGGGACTGAACTCAGGACCTCGTGCTTGCCAGGCAGGCACTTAGGCCACTGAGCTATCTTTCCAGTCTCAGAGAAGTTAAATATTTTGGTTTACGGTTTCAGAGGATTCACTGCAGTCAGCCGGCTTTGAGGCAGGAGCAGCACGGTAGGCCGGTAGGCCGCATCATTCACAGCCATCAGAGAGCTGAGCAGGGGAGCGCACTGGAGATCAAGGCTGTTACCGACCTGCCACAACACAAGTGCATTCTACTCATTCCCTAGGGAGCTCCCACTCCCATCAAGATGACAATGAAGCTTAACAGTCATAGATGGTTGCTATAAAAATCAAACAAAAACCAGGAAACAAATGTATGCAAAAAGATGGAAAACGTTATAGAAAACTATGGTGGTTTCTGTCATATCGCTATATAATCAAGCAATCAGGCCAGGGAGATGGCTCAGTAGAATAAGCACTTGCCTGGCAAGCGCAAGGGTCTGAGATCAATATCCGGTTCTGCAAAAAAAAAAAAAAAAAAAAAAAAAATTACAACTAGGGACATGAAGTATGTGTACGGCTGTGTTCCTAGCTACGTTACACACAGTGGAAATGGAAGCAATCTAAGCACTCACTAATACGGATAATAAAGAAGATGTGACACATAAGCCAAGAGTATCACTCAGGCTGAAAAAGCACTTTCTGACAGAAGATGGGTAATTGCTGAGGATATTATGCTAAGGGACAGCCTCACAAAGGAGTGTATGACTACAGCACAGTGCAGATGTCACCACTGCCACTGTGCTGTCAACAACCATCCAAATGGCTATAACCTTTCACTGCTATTGAAAACCAGGACGTCTAATACCACTTCAGAATAGTTTGGCACATCAGACAACTGCTCACGGTGCCAACTGTGAACCCAGGTTTTCTCTGGCTTTCCTCAGCTGGCATAAGCGGCTCCAAGGCCCCAGCTCCACATGCCAAGGTGAGAAAGTGAAGGCTCGTGATCTCCAACTCCCCGTCTTCTGAATCTGCTTTTGGCCTTTCCTCCTACACGTGAGGCCCAGGCGATCTCTCCTGCTATGGCTGTTGTCCAAAGGTTAAGTTTTGCCGCAAGCAGATCAGTGTGGCTGCCATGTGGGAGTCCTGAACTTCTCACGAGCTGCACCGATTTGCCCACTTCAGCAGTCACTGATGCCACCTACCCATCCCCACCCTGATCCACAGCATGCCGTGGAGAGCACAGGATGCTGCTGCTGCTGCCGCTTCTGCCACGGGCATAGCAGGAACTGCTGGAAGCACAGACCCGCCTCAAGCCTGCCCCCTGCACAACCCCCGTGCACCAGCAGAATGCGGTCACAGCTCCCGTCACTGGAGAATCCAAGACTTTCTCACAAAAACAGCTCTCTTCAAGCAGAGAACTTAGAATGGGAACGTCGTCAGATGGGCAGAACCTGGTTCTCAGCCACCCGTCACCTAGGGTGCAGCGAGGAGGCGTGGAGTTGAGCTAGGTGGGCTTCACCAGTAATGGACAAACTACTCACTCCCACTTGGAAATCCCTTCTCTATAAAAGAAGAGAGCCGTCCCTCCTGAGCTGAGGGCCCAGCTACCTCGCAGAACCCATGCAAGGACCTCCACAGTAGCCACTAGAGCCTCTTGCTGGCAAGGAGCTTATACCCAGGTCACAGCCCTGCTACCAGGGAACAAGCGGGCCTGTCTGTCCTCAGACTTCTGTCAGCAACGAGACCAGAGCAGTCAGCTTCAGCCACACCTTGGAAGGTCGGGTCAGATCAAAGGCCTGGGGGGGGGGGGGGCGCAGATCCAGCTACACGCATCAGTAAAGGGCTGTCTGTCCTCCTTGCAGAAACGCGGCACTCCCCAGTGGGGAACGACTCAGAATCCAGGTTAGAACGCACCAGTGCCACACTGCGAGGACATGGGCTCTTCTTGCTCTTCAAGCAACCTCTCCGAGTGCCAGCCTGGCCAGGGTTCTGAGGACACACGGACAAGAGCTGAAGCAGCAAGGCACACACCAGATGCTGTAAGCTGAGGCCTCTGGCACACTGTACATGGTGACACAGTGGTGGCCTGAGACAAGACTCAGCTGAAGGGGGCCAAAGGGGTCAGGCATGCTGTCCTGCTTCCAAAGAAAGATGGCTAGTCATTCCTCACCACAGTGCCCAAGTACACTTTGCATTTGCTTCTAAGCCCTGGGCCAAGACCGCATGTGACCACAGGGTCACTTTCCCTGGCCAGCAGCTTGCACTGTCACCAGCCACAGCCCATACTGGCCCTGTCCCAGTGGTAGAAATGCTGCACAGAAACAGAAATGCCTTAACATAAGTAACAGAGACAAACCCTTTTATAAAATATTTATTCTAGAAAACAACAAAAAATCACACTGTACAAATTTAGATAGAACACTCTCGCTGCTCAAGATTTATAAAAATGTGAACGTAACAAACACTGAAGGAGGAAACTTTCACTGCTGTTTTCTTTTTAACTTAGGAAGGAAAAAATGATTTTTTTTTTTAGGTACAATGAGAGAAAATGTCTAGAAGACATCCAGAGAGCCAACGATTAAAAGCCCCAGATCTACCTGCGCCTCTCTCACAGGCCAGATCTGCCCAGCTGAAAGCAGATCCAGCAGGGGCTGAGGACGGCCGCCCCCGAGAGGCGACACAGCCTGCCGGGTGCACGCTGAGGTTCAGCCAGGCTCCCAAAGCCGCTTACACAGCACAGCGGCTGACCTCTCTGCCTTCCTACCCGGGTTTATGTACACACCTTGGTACAAACGCACAAAAGCGTGGTAAGGTGTCGTTTCCGGAAGAGCTAAAAAGGGACATCCAGAGTTATCTCCTACCGCTCACTCCGTCCACTCACAGACAGAGGGAGGACCATAGAAAAGAATCCACGAAAAATCCCAGGCCAGAAGTCCTGGTTCCTTTAAAAAAAAAAAAAAAAAAAGGGTTTAAAAGCTTACAGTAGGCTCAGCTCTGCCATTTCTGAGGGCCTCGCTGACATCCTGGGGCAGCTCTCTCCAACGCTAAACTTGTCCTCTTTCACGCACAAACTACTGTAAAGTAACTTCAGCCCTTCTGTAAATAAAATGAACCGGGCAGAGAGAGGTCACAGAAGCCAGCAGCTCCTTCACATTCCAGGAGATGGGCAGCCGTGGTCACAGCCACGGGTGCCAGGCAGGGTCCATGCGGCACAGGTTGTCCAAGCTGTTGGCGGCAGCCACAAGGGTGTTGACTTTACTCTCCCCGCCTTCAAACTGAGCCAGGTTGTGCAGGCGGGTCATGATGGCAGTGACAGCTTTCTGGACCAGGGAGACCAGCTGTTGGCTGTCCATGTTCTCAGGCTGTCCGGCAGCCGAGAGAGGAGAGGAGGTATCCTCCTGTGTTTTCTTGTGCCAAGCAATGATTTCATCTCGGAGCACGGTTTTCAGAATGCCATCCACCTGGGTAAAGGAGAGAATTAAAGGACCCCCATTTCCCCACGAACAGCCCAGAGGAGGGGCAGCTTCCTGGTGAGGCCTCGAGGGCCTGCCTAACCTCAGCAGCCTGGCTGGCCATGACCCAGCAGACAGGCGGGGAACCCTCTGGAGACGTCACCTCTTCTACTGGGGCAGCCCATGCGCAAGAGGGGACACACCTTCCTGCTGGGCAAGCGTGGATGTGTCCTTTCTACCCACACAGCCGAGTGCCTTTCTAGGGTCAGCTAACAGTGAATAAAAAAAAAAGTGAACTTTTCTGCCTCACTACACCTCTGGAAGGCAGGGGCCACCTCACACTGAACATGTCTGTCCCCATATGCCAGGGCCATATATAAAAGGGTAGGCAAACACAAAACTGCTGCACTGACAGGCAGTGCCAACAGCTGGGGACACTATCCAGTAGAGCATTCTGGATTCTCTCTTGGAAAGTGGGTTCCTTCACATCCTGCTGCCACCAGGGACACCACTTCAGCATTCTGTCCCCCTGATAGCAGGTGAGCAGGTCCTATGAAAAAGCCAGCGTGTGCTGAGACCTGTGGGGCCTACACCTTCCAAGGAAAGGTACCATGACCCACCTTGAAGTTGGGCTGGGCAAAGCATCGTGCAACAGCGATCATGGAGGCAGTCAAGGGGCCAGAGACACCGATGGTGGTCAGAAACTCAGAGATGTTGGGGGTGAGGCGGAAAGGGACAGGGCGGTTGGCATCCAAGTCCCCAGTCGCATCATTTATATCAAATCGAAAATAGGCAACATTCAGCTTGCCGGTGTCCTGCATTTCAGAAGGAGACATGTCAGGGATGTGCTCAGCAGTGGAGAAGGACAGGGTGTGTCTGGCTGCTCACTCCAGTTACCTGAGCAATCTGTAACATCTCAGGGTTGAGTCTATTTAAATGCAAGACAAACTCTGCAAAGCCTATCAGTGCCAGCTGGATGGTGAACATCTTCCGGAAGGTCCAGTAGTCCGTGGCATTGGGCAGTGTGTGCAGTGCCCACTCTTTCAGCATGCTGCGTGGCACCATGTTGCTCTGTACCTCCTTGAGAATGTCTCGAAGGACCTGAAACACATCATTCTGTAACTCTTTCACCTGATTCGCTATTTTTTTCTACAAAGGGAAAACTCTCAAATTCCAATTACCTAGTTAAATAAGTACAGGAAATTTCATTGCCAGGGAGAGAAGGGGAGGGGAGAGGACGGGGAAAAAAGGGAGAGTGAGAAAAAGAATGAGCCAGGTGGTCCTGGCAAGGCCTCTAGTGAGCTCAGGGCAGGCTTCTTGCCCTACTGCAGTGACACCACCCACTCCCACCCTGCCCGCTCCGCACAGGTCTGAAGAGCTGATGGCCTCACAACCAGGCTGGCTGTGAAATTTGACAGCCTGACAGTGACTAGTAGGCAGAAGGGGTCTGGTGATCCTTCCCCAAAAGCCTCATTCCAAAAGACTATTTGGAATCTATCTGGCAGTTCCTGCAAACAGCACCATTCACAGGGCTTTGTCTCTGACTAAACTCCAATTTTACATCATCTCCCACCAGGGACAAGGATTTAACATCAAAGGTGCCTGAGGTAATGAGGCTGACAACTAGCGCCACAACAGGAAAAGCTGAGAATGAGCTATTTTCAAAAAAATATTAGGAGACACAAAAATACAGCCAACCCACAGGGGAAGAAAGTGAACTCATGCTATCAAGTCATCTGTATCCAGAATACATAAAGAATTTGCAATATACAGAGAAATCACCCAAATTTAAAAATAGAAAAGAGCTTGTATTTCTCCAATAAACAAACGTAAGTAGCTCATCAGCACAGGCAAAGATACCGGACATTACCAGTCATTAACCCTGAGATAGTACTTCATATCTACTAGGATGGTACAATAAAAAAAGGCCACGGGAAGTGTTAGCAAGGATATGGAGAACTTTATCCACTGAGTTCACTTTCTGAAACACTTTGGCCATTCATCAAAATGTTAATTAAAATGTGACTCAGCAACTCCGCTCCTGGCAGAGAGCAAAACCTCTTACCTAACACAGAGACATCCACAGACATCCACAGAAGCATTAGTCCTACTAGTAAGGAGGTGTAAACAACCCAAAGTCCATCAACCGATGGATAAACATGGTGTGTTGCGGTTTGTGTTGACACGCTCCCCTAAAGCCTCAGACAGTCATAGCAGGGGCACTTTTCCTAAGTGGCCGAATCTAGACTTTGTGACTGATCTATGATTCAATGCCGGGATTATGGGTGTGAGTGCTAGGCCCACCTACGGCAGGTAGCCCGCGTGCGATATTAGGGACAGAAAAGAGGCTAGTCCCTTTCTGTCTCTGTCTCTCTTGTTGCTTTTCCTGCCTTGGAATCAGTGAACTATGGAATGGAACCTCTACAAACTATGACCCAAATAAACCTTTCCCCCTTTAACTCTGGGTGTCCGGTATTTTGTCTCAGCAACAAGAAGAGTAACTAAGATACAGTTTATTCACATACTGTAGTACTACTTGGCCATAATAAAGGAATAAAGTACTAACACATGCTAGACAACAAATGAACCATGCAATTGTTATACTAAGTGAAAGAAGCCAGGCACCAGTTTACATACTACATTCATGCTGTGTTCAGAACCGGCAAATCCAGCGGCAGAATGCTGTGTAATCATCCAAGGGCTGGAAATAGTGAGGAATAGGGCTAGCAGGGGTGATGAAGAGGACTTACAGATACAAAGATAGGAGCTGGATGTGGTGATGCCTGCCTGTAGTCCCTGCATCTGCAGGCTGAGGCAGCCTGGTCAACTCAGGGAAAATTACCAAGATCCTATCTATTTACTTTATAGGGTGAACTGTACCTCACACCTCACTAAGAGTGTAAAAAATAAAACAAACAAACAAACAAACAAAAAACAGGAAGATGAAGGACAGAGTTAATAACAAAAGAAGCGAGGTAGAAAGAGATGAGGATACGAGATGGAATCATTCTGTGTTGCTGTTGGTATCACTATTCAGCAGGACCTGGGCACTACTTCTAAGCTGAACTAACATCAGTTTACGCATGCGTGGTCAGTTACACATGCTGCTTATGAAACGTTGGGCTCTGATGTGAGCATGTATTCACAGAAGTTACTGGCTTAAATGGTGGAGAATAAGCCCTTCTTTCCCCACAAGTACCTCACAACCACTCCTGGACACAGAATAAACAGGCCGTGAGCTGTGCCACAAATTCCTAAGGGAGGCCATAACAGACATTGCAGTCTGGGCCGCCATGGGCCCTGCCTGTGTCCAACATGCACTTATGGCCTCTGTCTTCCAAAAAAGCAGACACACTGCAATGAGTCCCTCAGGGCAGGTCATGGTTCCCCAGCCTTCTGGTCTCTCCTTGTGACAAACAGAAGGACCATGTGGCATGTGGTCACAACAGTGGTCTCTCGGTGTTCCACAAGCCTGGACAAGCTCTTCTCAGCAATGGCAGGAGGCTGCAAATGATGAGCAGGCCCTCTGTTCCCAAGAGGCTGTAGCTGATGGCTGTCCAGTATTCCTGAGGCCTGCATGAATCTCCTATCCGAGGTAATCCAATCAACGAGGCATGCCTGTTGTCACAGCGTGCTCTACTTTTTATCTTAGAAAATATATAAGGTACAGACATGTGTGTGCCCCATGGCTCAAGTGCACACTAGAGACACGTGAGTATTAAGTGGATCAACAGAGAGTGCAAGTAGTCTGCAGCACCTCAGATAGTAACTGGCTGCCAAGTGAGCTGGCAGTAAACTTATTTTTAAATTCTGATTTCTAAACTTCTTCGTAAGTACCAGAAGAGGACATGAACTCACCAAAGTTAAGATAAGCCCCTGGCAGCAAACATGCCATCACTACGGTCACTGACCATTTAATTCCACTCTCACAAGGCTACTGAAGTTACTTTGGGGGAGAGAGGACACTCAGAGAAAGCCCCACGCACTCCTAGGCACCCCTGTTGCTGGAGCACTGTTGCCAAGAAGGCCTCTGACTGAAGGGAAGCACCCCCCTCCATCTCCCGCAGCCCCATACCTGGTGGCTCGCCTGGGTCCCCCGTGCCTGCACCGTGGCCAGCCGGTCATAGTAACGGGAGATGGGGTTGTCGTGCTCGATGCCCTTCTTGGCACAGCGCTGCTTATAGATCTCCACGAGGGAAAGTGAGGAGGGGTTGTCCTCCACAAGACGCATCTGTGGGGATACGGCCACAACCCTAGGAACTGGGGAGGAGAAATGGGGCAGGTTAAGGGAGAAGAACTACTGCTCGTGCTTGGCTCCACGTCCCCAGCGCTGGCTGGGAGCAGAGACAACCTGGAATCCAGCCACGTGAGCAGAGGAACGGAGTGCCAAGGTAATGCCACCCCACCTCTTCAGCAGACAGCCCCAAGCTCACTCATGAGCTATTCAGCACCCATGTTCAGAAGATAACCTTAAAAAAGAAAGACACTGGCAAATGCTCACTCTTCAGAGGCTTCCCCCACCAGACTCAACAGAAGGATGCAGCCTGCCAGCTCTGAGGCACAGTGACCTCGCTAACTCGCCCTCCTGCTGCCTCAAGGGCTGTGCTCCAGCTTTGTAGAAGCGAAGCAGCATTGCTCAGGTTGTTCCAGTAAGGACACAAAACCAGAGCAAACCCCATCACCTGTAAATCTATATCCACACACAGTGGCCACCACTGCCTGCCTGAGCCCGCTGGAAGCAGCACAGCGGGAGCACTTGGGGAGGGAGTGCTGCGAGGGCCACGCCCGGCCTCCACTCCTGCATCTGCATCCTGAGGCAAGTGGACAGACCACTGTGAACTTGTCTCCTCATCCAGAAATGGGTGACAGCCACACAATAGGTTGCTTGTAGACTACATGATTGAAGCAGTAAGTAACACTGTTACACAGGGAGGGACCTGAGAGACATCTAGAAGATCCAAAATCCAACCTGCCTGGTGTGGGCTGCACAGAGCCTGCAGCAGGAAGAGCGCCCAGGCAATGCAGTCCCTGGGCGTGGGGTGCTGTTGGCTGGGCACACAGAAGACTCCTTAACTTTTATTTTTTTGAGACAAGGTCTCACTATGCAGTTCAACCTGACCTTTAGCTAGTTCAGGTAGTCCAGGCTGGCCTCAAACTTCTAGTGATCCTCCTGTTTCAGCCTCCCAAGTGCTGGGACAACAGGAATAGGCTGACAGGACGCTGACTTCTAAAGAGCAAAGGTGGCCAATTCAATCTAATGTCAGTTTTGCCACAGCTGTTGGCTTGCAGCTCTGGCTTTAATCTATGAAAAGATCTCAAGATGATTCCCAGGCATGAACAGAAGACTGTCACTGAGTGATAATCAGATGTCAGAAAGATGGAAAGAGCCCTCTTACCAACATTTGGGATCAACCCTACAGACCTTGTTACTTGTTGAAGTATACACAGCTTTTTACTATGTAAGCAAGCTTCCTTTAGATTGTTTTTTTTAAATTCACTTATTTTAAAGTAGCCAACCAAAGGGTCAGACATTTTGGTCAAAATGGGTTGGACTACACTCTACCTTAGCTATCAGAAGAAAGCTCCACCTGGCACGAGGCCACAAGCACTGCATAAGCTCCCTTGGGGGTTATGTGCCAAAATGTAGGCAACTCAGCTGCATAAAGACTAGGCTCATGGTTGCTGCTTAACTCCTGCCATCACTTGACAGTGTCTCCAGCCTTCCTGGACTTAGCATGGCACTCCAGGAGGGGCTGGGACCTCATTCAAAACCAAAGTGCCACCAGCACCCCAGGGAAGCTCTTGGCTCAGCCAGGCCCACCAGGGTAGAGGTTCCTGGAGGGTATGAACAGGAGGCACAGGGGCACCACTTCTGCCAAGAATATGTTCACTCCGAAAGATGAAAAGAAGCGAGAGAACCTTACACTGTGCTCTCATCCCCCAGTGAGCAGCCTGAGGCTAGAGAATGGCTCCTGGGGCAGAGCTGTGGGCATGAAACTGGTCCTTCTCCTGGCCCTCCCCTCTGCAATCTGGCACGAGGTGCTGTGCGCTCATGTACCTGTGAAAAACAAGTGCCTCTTGGTGGTTTCCTTCCTCTTCTCCAAGCAGGGATTCAGCAGGCGGAGCAGCTGCAGCACACGCTCCTCCCTCCGTGACTCTGTGAGGCAGGCATCATTCATGACGAGGTATGGGTAGATCTTGCCATTGTGTCCTCGGATGTAGAGCCTACGAGCAGCTGTGTTGTGCTTCTGCACAATTTCTACCCGGGGCATGAACCTAGCAAAGCAACAAACGCACATGAGCTCCAAGTTTTGTTTTCTCTCCTTTTTAAAGAACAGGATACAAAGAACCAGCCCCAAAATCAGAATACACAGAACCTACAGAGGCTGGATACACAGCATCACTAGTTTACCTGTACCCCACCCCACTCGGAAAGGCAGAGATGAAATGGTATTTGATGATATAACTACTACTGGTAGAAGGCAGGCAAGAGGATCAGCCTCCTGCCAGGACATGATTTAAAAGAGAAACTGAGATCTGGGCATGTGGAAAAGCAGAGCACTGTGTTCGACTTAGGGAGGCCTCTTGGAAGTGCTTCTGATTATTTCCCAAGATGCAGCTTTGCAACTGTCCAACTGTACCAGGAATACTGTGATTCAAGAGCTGATAAAAGCCTGGGAACTTCATATTGTATTAGGCTCAATGGTGATTTGAAAAAGGTTCTTTGGAAAGCAAAAATGATCTTTACTCAGGAAGTTTAACCTGTACATTCCCAGGCCCTCTAAGGCCTCTATAGCTCCCAATTACTCACATTCTAGGACAGTTATATTCTTTCCCACTCTAGGAAACCAAGGCCTGAAATACTGCCCAGAACCTACCCAGAATGCCCCAGTACAGCTTGCTGGCTTACTCACCTAGCAATCTTGATGTAATAATGTGTTGGCTTTGGCATTAGAAATTCCCCAGGAATTTCTACGTCAGCTGTTTGTGCTGAGAAATTGCTCAAAAAACGACACTTTTCTTCTATGAGGAAGAATTTTGGAAGTTGTTTGGTTTTAGCCTCCAGGATTTTAATCCACTTTTTCAATTTGGAAATTAGATTATGAAGCTTCATGGATCCTGGAACACTGAAATCAAAATCTGCAAAATACAATGCAATCAAGATGTTTGTAATTATAAGAGCTATTTCTCAGAACCGGGGATTGAACTCAGGCCCTTGCACTTGCCAGGGAAGCGCTTATTCTACCGAGCCATCTCCCTGGCCATAAGAGCTATTTCTAATTCACTACAAAATCACCACTCAAATATCTAGCAGCTATGACTTGGGCATGTCATGGTGTGGGGCAGAATATCTAAAGTCTCACTTGCTCCCTAAAGCATAGGTTACAGCCTGAGACAGCAAGCACAGCTGTTAGCTGGGGCTGCTCACTACTGAGAGGAGGAAGAGAAGGAGGGGGAAGAAGAGGGATAAGCCCAATACAAAGCCCATCCCAATCATAACAGAATCACTTCAGGAGACTATAGGCCCCTCAGGAGAGACAGGAACTTGTAGATGACCCATGACTCCCCATGACAGCTCAGGACTTGAGGTCCTCAAAGCCTAGGGATCACCCCCTCCAAAGGTGGCCCCAGTCACAACATCTGAGTACAAGCATTAATTATACCAAGGAATGAAGGTCTCAAGGCCAAAGCTCTTAAGAGTAACCTATGGTAGGGGCTGGGGAGATGGCTCAGTGGAATAAGTGCTTCCCTGGCAAGCACAGGGGCCTGAGTTCAATCCCTGGTTCCGCCAAAAAAAAAAAAAAAAGAGTAACCTATGGGAAGATGGAAAGAAAATGGAAATATTAAGAGGGTCTGTGACAAGTGACTTTATTAGAAGAAATGAAACAAGAAACCAAAATAACAAAAGCAGAAGATATTTTCATTTAAGTCTTAAAGAAAAAATTCCTTGGTTAATGTATTTCTCAGATTTTCCCTGAGACTCAATATTAAAAATTCAAATAAATGTAAAAGTTCTTCTTAAACCCTCAGTTTCCTTCCAGATTCTTAGCAGGCCTGGAAGAATACCTCATCATTCTAACTTGCCAACCATTACTGCTGTGAACTGGGATCGCAGGGGAGTCATAAGGAAATACTGTCCTGCTGCCACGCATTGGTGACTATGCAGGACGCCTTAAACCACTTTTTTTTTTTTTTGTGGAACCGGGGATGGAACTCAGGTCCTTGTGCTTGCCAGGGAAGCGCTTATTCCATTGAGCCATCTCCCCGGCCCTGCAGGACGCCTTGAGTATGGTGGGTTGTGCACGGGCTGCAGACACCTCCATGTGCCACCTCATCAGAGGGCACACACACTCCTCTCTACCACTACCTGTCCCAGGGACTCTCAGACAGTCTTCTGCATGCTCATTGGATGGACAGAGTCCCCTCTACACTTAGCAAAGGTGGCCTCTTACCCACTTGCCCTTTGCTGCAGCCGCATGGCTACAGCTAATGATAAAGAGAAGGACCAAGGGACCAACAGCACCAGCTTAGAACCTGAAGTGGGCATAGATCCAATGGATGGGAGGCCCACACATGTACCAGAGGATGGGCCATCTGAGGGTAAAATGGGTCCCTGCCTCTTCCTACTGAGTGTCACTTGTAACCTGTGCAAAAGCCAACTGGGTGCTCAGCATAAAATTCCACAAACAGCCCACCACATTCTTCCTACAAAATGGCCCCTCCACAGCCTGTACTGGCTGGTGCTGAACCCAGAAAAATGATCTAGATCAAAAGCTACAGAAAAGTCAGGTTGTCAGACTTACTAAAACTTATGTCCTGCATCTGTGTAACACCCTACATACTGGATCTCATAGGCTACTTGAAAGGTATCATGATATGCTATTAGTTACTGTAGAGTTCCTTGGATGGTACCAGCACAAGAGTGTCACACAGTTTCACACATACCCAAGAAGAGCACGAAGTGTCCCATCCATCAGGGTGAGGGGAGCCTGAGATCTGGCTCTTCCAGGGACCCACTCATCGCTGCCCCTGGATCAATGTACTGTGCAATCACAGTAGCTTATGAAAATCAGCCGCATCTGTTTATCCAGTTTCCTTAGTTTGAGGGTATGGTGTGCTGAGTGAACTCAGGACCTCAAGTATACTAACTTGGCCACACAGTTCAGTGGACTAAAATGCCTGCTTAGGCAGAGCACAGTGGCCGGGGTTTGAGCCCTGGTATGCCATGCTGGCCCCACCCTCGGGTACACTGAGTTGGTGATGGAGACCGGGCGTGGTGGGGAACACTTGTAATCCCAGCACCTGGGAGGCTGAAAACAGGAGAATCACTACAAATCTGATCTACGTAGTGAGACCCTGTACTAAAATTAAAAAAAAAGGGGCTGGAGAGATGGCTCAGTGGTCTAAAGCACCTACTTAGAACAAGCTTAGCAAAGCATCAGGGACCGTGGTTCGATCCCCCAGCACCACATGCCAGCCAGCCCCGCCCCCTGGTGGGCTGAGCTGGCCATACACACACACCTCTCTCTCTCTCTCTCTCTCTCTCTCTCTCTCTCTCTCTCTCTAATAAATAAACAAACAAAAAAAAAAAAAAAAAAAAAAAAAAAAAAAAAAAAAAAAAAAGTATACTAAGGACATACCCTTCCACTGAGCCACCATACCCATTCAAGCACTTTCTCTTTCCTTTAATTTGAAACACTGTCATATCCCTCCTTTGAATTCCTCATAGTCATAATCTCACAAGAGCAGGAAGCCAGAGAAATCAACACACCAATCCAACTGAGGTGAAACTCCCTCAGCAGAGGTGTGTGAAGTCTACCCTTGACACTGTAGGGAGCCTCACACGGGGATGCCCCTTCACTGCAACTAGTTGTTGTCAAGCTTATGCCTGATAACTTCTTTAAGTTTTTAGAGTAACTACAGATTCACAGAAGGCTGCAGAGAAGCATACAAGAAGCCTTGTGTAGATGTAACCCGTCTTCCAAGCCAATTTCCTATACAACCATGGCCAATGCAAAAGCGAAAGTCATGCTGGCAGAGCCCGCAGAGCTAAGAATTAATGGGTCCTATGTGCACTCCTTGCAGGCCTGTTTCATGAGCAGGCTTGCACAGTTAGCACTCTCATCAAGCATCTCCAAATTCCTGTTAATCACTCACAGCCAAACCCACCTCTTCCCTTACCCCTAACACCTGGCCTATTATCAGTTCCCAGTGTCTACATTATTTCACAAATGTTTCATAATAAGAATCACACAAAGTATCCTTCCGAGATTGGTTTTTTGCACTCAGCAGCTTGAAGTTCACCCAAGTTGCTATATACACGAATAATTAACTCCTTTTTACTCCGAGTATGGATGAACTGTACTTGTTATTCAATATGTTCTAAAGGTTTCCTATTTTGAGGCCATCACCAATAAAGTGGTTATTAATATTCACATATAGTTCTTACACGAAAGTGAGCTCTGCTTCTGTGGGCTATATGTCAAATACTGTTTTAGAATTCTCGCACACCTCATTCTCTAATAGGGATCCCAGGAGTGAGACAACAAAAGGGTCCCCTGGGAGGGATGACAGCAGGCTGCAGAGCTCTTGATCTAAACATCTGAAGCTCGCAGTGTTCTGAGACAGTTGGAAGCCTCATAAGATTTGAGTTTCAGGTTTGATAATTTTAACATCAAAATTCAAGTGCTTCGCCCCATTTCCAATTCTCCACTTCAAACTATACTTGATGCAATGATCTGACATTTTAAAGTAAAGATGTGTTGAATATTATTTCTTTTTAGGTAAAAAAAAAAAAAGGTGGTTTCTAAAAATCTTCATCTCTGATGCTATAGAGCAGGGTGAGGGTACCACATAAACTTCACAAGACAAAACTAAACACAGTAAAAGCTCTCAGTGTGAAAGGCAGGCGGGAAGCCAGGGCTCATACTCCATCTCCCAAAGAGCCCTGTCCTCGTGCTGGCTGGGTGCATCACCCTAAGTGCCCACTTTATACTTTGACAACAGGTCCCTAGAGCCCCTGCTACCTGAAATGAGGACGGGCAAGGCTGTGCTTTAGCAAGATTTAAAGGGAGTCCTAGATGCAAGTGCAAAGTATCCTTCATAATTAATGAATTATTTTCTTTTATATTGCTTCACACTACATAAATACATTCGTTTTTTACCTCACTCTTTTGTTTACAGTACTGCAGATTGAGCCCAGGCCTTCAAAATGAGATCTCCAACTCCTTTTATTATTTTGAGACAAGATCTCACTAAGTTGTGAAGCTGCACAGGCTGGGCTCCAGCTTGTGATCCTCCTGCCTCAGCCTCCTAGTGTGCTGGGATTAGAGTATGCACATGGCAGGTGTTGGGGATGTAGCTCAGTGGTACAGCTGTGGGTTCAATGCCCCAATACTACAATCAGAAGAAATTATAAATGTGAAATTCTATGGTTTAACCTATCAGTGGAGAAAAAATGTTCCAGGCAGTTATAAAAGCAATGATTAAGTGCAAGTACTTCAGTTCTATAAGACCGCACAAGTCTTGCTGTTACATGAGCATCACCCATGCCTGTCTGCAGAAGACACTCATGTGACCAATGTGACTCATCTGGGGCTCGGCCCTCCTAGGGCCTAGAGTGTGTGCTGCGGGGAGAAGGCCCCAGGAAAAGGGAGATTGACTGGACTCCTTGCCCTTGGCTGAGCCACCATTTGCACTCATCTGGGCAGAGGAAAGTGCCTCCATGGGCACAATGACAGGTGATGGGGGCTGGGGAGATGGCTCAGTGGAATAAGTGCTTCCCTGGCAAACACAAGGGCCTGAGTTTGATCTCCGGTTCCGTGGGGGGAAAAAAAGACAGGTGATGGAAACATCATCTCCCTGGTAAGCTGCCACCAGTCTGCTGCCAACTTTGTACTCCAGAGACATTGAGCCCTGCACCATTAAATCCCAAACTTGACCTTCTAAGCAGAGGAACGAATGGAAAGTTAAGAGGATTTGACCAGCAAACCTCCCACTTCCCAGCTCCTACCTCACAGTTCCAAACTCTGACCTTCAGCATGAAAACAAAGTGTGAGGCTGATGACTCTCATAGTTCCGAGGGCACCGAGTACCTATTTTTTTGTGTGTGTGTTTTATATTTTAGGACAGAGCATACAGGGTCTTACTGCGTAGATCAGACTCGTAGCGATCCTCCTATTTACAGCCTCCCAAGTGCTGGGATTACAGATGTGTGCCACCACACCCAGCCAGGGTATCAAACTCCAGGCCCCTGTGTCTGAGTAAACAGGCGCTTTAATTTGCTGAGCTATCTGGCTGGCCCTTCTGAGTCTCTATTTTAAACAGCCTCACTAGCATGGCCAGAAGAGTGATGAGAAACATCAACGAATATAATCAGCTTAGATGTAAAAGGCCCAGGAAAAGGAGACCTTTCCCGGGAACAGAAACAGATGGTGAGACTCACCTGTTGTGAATTGGCCCTTTAGCTTTTGGAACACGGGGTCCTGAGCTGTGGCCTGGGCTCGCCGGGCCAGAGACTCAGAGGCTGCGCTGGAGAACATGGTGGAGACATTTGACACATTCTCCAGGCCGACTCCAAATGTGCTCACCAACTTCTTGACAAAGTTCAGTGTGTGGGGGGTGATCTTGGCATCAGACACTGCCCCACTTTTTTCAAAGGCAACGGAGTAACACTTTGCCAGGCCCTGCTGGAGTTGCCTGAGCACCTAGAGGAAAACACAGCAAAGACTGTCACCCAAAGAGAGAAACCAGACAGTTCAAGACCTCTGTCACACAAGACCCCTTGCCTCAGGATTGTGCTACAACCACACAGCACCCAGTAGGTGTAAGTCAGCATGCACAGCAAAGAAGGAATGCCAGTGTGTAACACTGCAGGCTCCTAACTAAAACCTTAAACACTCAACAAAAGAGAAAACACTACTTCAAGGCACACCTGCTCACCTGGTGATTAACCACATAAAATCTCATTTTCATGCAGCCTGGTTGTCACCACCACATGCAACATCTGAGCATCAGTCTTCAGCTGGCCTCAAGGCCCAACTAGACAAACTGCTGGGCAGTGAAGTATTTGTGACTTTATCATGAGCTTAGGGACATGAGATTAAGGAGGTAGCCTAGCTACTGGAAAAACCCTGAATAACGAAGTCCCACTCTGGAAATTGGAATTGCATGTTGCCTACACCACTGTTCTCACTCACATATGGCTGCCACCTGGTCAACCAGTGGTACTTAAGTGGCCAAAGGCACAGAACTGGACGAAATAAGCATTTTAGCAGCAAAAAATAGCTTCAATTTTATCCTTTTCTTTTGAAGTCATCTGCTTCAAATACTTGAGGCTCTACTATTGTGCAGCAATTAACCACTTACCTGGTCTGTAGTTAAACTCAGCAGCAAACAAAAATGATTAGGCAATTTATATAAACAATGTGGCTGCTGAAGCATGCAGAATACCACCTTCTGCCCACAAGTAGCCAACAGCTGCAGTCAGCCCCACATACCTCTTCATGCCAGTTCTCTCTGAACCAAACCATCTGATCAACGATGCCTTCCAGGGAAGACAGAAGCGTGGGGTGGAGTTCTCGCTGCATGTGCATGATTCGGCTGCAGCGCCACATGGGTGCTGTTGCTCGTATGGGCCCTGGATCTGATGCAGAATGGGACTGGTTACCCACTGAACTTGGCTGCTGCTGTCCAGAATCTGAGAGCAACACACACAATGCCAATGTCAGTGCAAAACCAACTGAGGCTGAGCTCTACGGGACCCACTGGCCAAAGGAACACTGGTTCCTGCCGGTGTGGGGTTTGCCACAGGACCGTCTCCCCTAGGATGGTGTGGCGAATGCTCTGGGTCTAAGGACAGCTGTGCCTGCCAATTTAAGGACAAATCCAGTGTGCATGTTGAGTGAAAAGACAGATGTGACAACATGTTACCCAGTGTGCTGAGCTGAGGATGTACACTGCACATTCATTTCTACCTTTTCTGCATTTCAAAATTTTAAAAGAGTGTTTAGAAAAGTATTTCAAAGTATGTTCCTCCTACTGAAGTTCAAAGAACCTACAAGTAGTTAATAAGCAACTCTCCATTTTTCACTGAGGAAAATCAAATCATATTTATAAGATGCTTTCAAAAAGGACAGTTATTTTCTCTATGAGAAATATACTCCAGAACTTATCATGTTCTGTTCTCTGGCTTTTACTAAAATCAGTACTGAAACTAAAAAAAAACCACCTTATTTCAAATGACCAAGACAGGGAGCTGAGAGGTACTGTGTTATGTCCCCAATCCCCACCTTATCTCATTAACCTGCAGTACTGTCACAGTCTGGTGTGTGAAGTTTGTGAAACAACACTCCTGAAATGGTTGACAAAGTACCAGGCTTAGCAGTACCTGGCACCCTTAATTAGGTTCTTTCTCCACACAGGAGGGCTGTTCAATATAGATTAAAAGTACTATAGCTGGCATGACTACAGATTCGTCTGACAGATTAAGAGATTACTATAAACTGGACCAACGCATAAACACTGTATTGAGCTTCACACTGTTTTCTAGGATTCCTTTCTTACTAAGGAGGAAGGTGAATTTTATAGTTCTCTATAGCTAAACTCTTCATAGATGTGTTTTCTGCCTACTCAGATGAACTGAGTGACTTGCCCACCATACTGTGGCAGAGGAATCATACCCTTTACTCAGAGATCGGGCTTTGTCATGGCCCCTTCCCAGAGAAGGCACTGAGCACATCAGCAAGGGAGCTGTGGAAGGTGTGTCTGCAGGCCTGAGGATATGGGACACCCATGCAATGAGTCCCTCCAGTCCTAGCCAGCTAGACCCACCCGGAACGTACCGCTCTTGTAGCGCTCCCGCTGTTCTATCTTCAGGGTCAGGTATAGAGTTCGGATGGGAAAGTAGACTGCTTGGGGATACACACGTCCAACCTGCTCAAAGACATGAAGTCAAAAACAGCATTGCTCTGCACTGTAATATCGGGATAAAAATAATTACTCAAAGAAAAAAAAAATATATATATATATTTTTTTTTTGTTCTTTTTTTTAGAGAAGGGTCTACAAGGTGTTCAGGGTCTTACTACTAGATCCGACTTATAGTGATTCACCTGTTTAGAGTCTCCCAAGAGCAAGGATTACAGGTGCACACCACTATGCCCAGTCTCAAAAAAATAATTGATACTAAATCGAAAATGGGTTTTTGGTCTGCATTTGGACCAAGGAAAGGAAATAACATTGATGATCTAACACAAAAGGGTGGATTAAACAAGAAGTAAAATATCTTGTTTAGCTTTAAAAGATGCAATAAAGACCCACACTTGCGTTTGATTAATTCTAGAGCAATCACATGTTCATTTCGTTCAATAAACGTAAGGAAGACAAAACTCATAGGTTCAGTTCTTGGTCCTCCAAGCACTACACAGATGATGCCCATGAGTGTTAGCACATTCCAAGTCACATGGCTGCTGCACTACTAATTCATGAAGTTATGATTTTATACACACAAACACAGAGTACTGTGTATGGCACAGGATCTAAATATTTACTGTTTTGGATGTGTATCTTAGTCTTTTCAGAGAGGATCATTCCGGAACCATTCTCACATGATGGCTGCAAAAGAACACTACAGGTCTCCAGGACCAGGGCCTGTCCAATATTCCACCTTGCCATCAAGACTGATTAAGTGTCAGTCTCAAGGGACGTGAAAAGCTCCTGGCACAGGACAGGTAGAAAGTGCCAATAAGACCAAAAGCAATCTTCCATTTAAGACAAGTTAAGTTTTATCCCTCGTGGGAAGATATTCAAGCAAAGAAACCACAATTTCAACAGTGCAAGGCTTTGTTATCCACTGCATCTCAAACCTGAGTAGTCTTCAGTAACTCATGTTTTATATTAAATAATACCTAAACATTTATGCCTTGAGATATTTCTGATATCTGGAACATTTTTTTTTTAATTTTATTTATTTATTTGTGGGGGGGGGGCAGCTCAGCCCACCAGGGGGCGGGGCTGGCTGGCATGGGGTGCTGGGGGATTGAACGGCGGTCTCTGTGCTTTGCTAAGCTTGTTCTAAGTAGGTGCTTTAGACCACTGAGCCATCTCACCAGCCCTCTGGAGCATTTCAAAGAAGTTTCTGGAAGAAAAGAACGCAAAATGACGACAGTGTATTAATAACAGAGAAGTCCTGTGATGCCCACCTGGCTAATGAGGTTCAGAAGCAACTTGCCCTCGGAGCCAACCAGGCAGGTGAGCAGCTGTGGAATCCAGGCCAGCCACTGGATGGGGGGTACGCCGATGCAGTACTTGTCCACAGCATCTGCCAATGTGTTTTTGTCATCATCAAAACTTAAAAGCCACAGCACCTGGCAGAGAAGAAAATTTCTAGAGTTGAATAACAATTCTGAAGCTCTCAATGAAGTGGCTTTTTATCCAACTTACAACTGCCACATGAACAGGGTCTGGTACACATTGCCTATAAACCCAACTACTCTATTGTCTATGGGAGAAAGTATCTACCATAGGGCCGATTTCTTGTCAAACTTAACATATAAATGTTAATAGTTAAATAAAACCTAAAATTTAAATACAGTTTTTCTTTTTGATTTACCTGTAATGGTAATTACAACTGATCCAATCTACTGACAGGCTGTGATCTGTGGCTCTGAGGAGGTAACAGGCAGGTGCCTACGGCCCACATGGATGACCTGCTAACTCACACAGGTGGCCTCATCAGACAGAACAGGTTATTATAATCTCCAAATCATCACCCCAGCACCAGGAAAATCATGTGCTATAGCACGAAGCCCAAGTGTTTCTTGACACAGTCATATCTAAAAACAACTTAATAGATCTGTCAGAAGCTTGGGTTCACTTTCACGTCCATGTACATGTGCTCATATACATTTCAAATGCTGACGTTAAGACTTTAATGGATAAAGCAGGAAGGAAAGGACAATTTATTCCTAAATTTTCTGCAAGAATTATGAGTCATGACTGAAAAATGCAAAGAATTTTTAATTTTTAAAAATGTATTATAGTAACAAGATATATTACCATAATCCCCTTGAAAATTCTTCTCCTTCCTTTGAATACACTTATTCTGTCCTTGTCACACTTCTGAAGCAGTTCTAAAAATCCCTTTTCAAATCTATTTGCCAATGTCCTGAATCATCTCAAAACACATCTTTTTTAGTCATTTTGACTCTGGAGACAAGCTAGAAGTCACACAGCATCTGATTCAGTGAACAGTATGAAAACACACTTTTCATGAGTGTTTACTGGATAGCACTTGGTAAGAGGATTCATCGTATTTTTGAACAGTAAAGACATTCACAAAAGAGTACTTTCAGAATTGCTTCCGAAAGTGGTAAGAATGACGGGATAAGAACACACAAAATGGAAATGGAAGGAAAAAGAATTAATATTTGATATGTACATTACTACTTCCCCATGATGAATGTATTCATCATGTATTACAAACATGTACCAATTAAAAAGAAAGCAAAAAATAAATGTTGAAAGTTAGGGAGGGCACACTGGGCACAGTAGCACCACTTGTAATCCCAGCAATGGGGAAGCTGAAATTGGGAGGATCACTACGAGTCCAAGCTGCGTAGTGAGACCCTGTACCTAATAAATAAAACAAACAAAAAGAAAATTAGAATCCAACCAAATAACTCAGCGGATTAAAGTACCTGCAAACAGACGCAGGGGTCAGGGGTTTGATCACCAGGCCTGCTTGGCCACCCCCCTCAACCCCCCCAGTGCGCACTGAGATGGCAATTGAGACTGGGTGTGGTAGCATGCACCTATAATCCCAGCTCTTGGAAGGCTATAAACAGGCAGATCACTACCAGTCCCATCTAGTAGTGAGACCCTGAACACCCTGTAGATCCTTAGTAAAATTAAAAAAAAATAGTAATAAAAAAAAAAATTAGGGAGGTGGAATATTTTGAGGGGGATTGGGGCAGTGTGTCTTTATTGTAATGAAGTTTTACTTTTTTTCTTGGTGGTACCAGGTATCACATCTTGTGCTTGCCAGACAAGCACTTATTCTACTGAGTTACCTCTCCAGCCCTTGTAACAAGTTTTTAAAATGTAAACATTCACCCTATATTTTGATTATACCTAGCATTTCTTGATTTTATTTAATCTGTTTATTAGGGAAAAAAGGAAGCACTCTTGAGAGACGTACCAGGGGAAGCCTATATCTAACACAGCAGTGTGCAGGTGGCACTGCCATGGAAAGAGGTCACCAGAAGCCAGCAATGGGCACCAGGCCTGTGGCTACAGGTACCCACTCCAGTTCCCTGCTGTCCAGAAGTGCTGTTCAGGGTGTGATGCCAGACAGCATGTGACACAGAGGCCTAAGGTCCAGGTTCTAGGCAAGGCTCTGCCCGGGGCTCCATTTTTTCAGCTTTAAAATGGAATTTGTAGAATTCCAGTCTAAAAAGTGATGGGAATTTAAAAAACAAAGCAGGAAACCTGGCCCCACATCCAATATGGTTTAATGAATTGTAGCTAGATTTTGATCTAAACATAAGGGGTGGTCTATTATCAAAACTAAGTCTTTTGGTCTCACCTTTGCCAAATATTTTCTTGATTTGCTTTCATTCTGATGCCGACATGCATGCAGGTAACAGGTAATAGCAGATACCCCAAGATGCAGCTGCCTCTCCTTCACAAAGATGTTCTCAAGATAGTCGCCCCACATGGCCCAGGCTTTCACCAGCACATCATGCATCTGCACAGCTGCTGAAAAGGCTTTGTTTGCTTCCTCAGACCTGAGGGGAGTTACAGAGCATGAAATCAACCATTTCAAGATGAACACTTTCTGGAATTGAAAGCATTTATGCTGAGGTACAACCACTTCCTAAACAGTTACTCTGACCCTCAAGACGTGATCACCAATCTGTTACTTCTCCAGATATATCTACTATTTTGCGTACTTCCTATCAATCAAATCACACAGCCTATGACTTTGAGTTTGGCTTCTTTCACTTAGCACAGTGTGAGGTTCATCCATGTTGGAACATGTGTCAGAACTTTTTCCTCTTCTATAACTGAATAATATTCCATTATATGCAAAGCTTATATTGTGTTTATCTACTTGTGTTGTTTCCACATTTGATTCTAGTCATCATGACTAGTACTGATGTAAACATTTTTGAATTTAGTCCATTCCTACTCCTTTGGATACATACCAACATGTGGAATTGGTGAGTGATATGGTGATTCTGCATTTACTTTTATGTGAAAATGTCAGTCACAAAAAAGCCACATATTGTATAAGTTTATTTATATGAAATGTTTCGATTATGCAATAGGCAGTACACATTCTAAGTCACTGAATTATACACTTTCAAAGAGTGTATTTTTTTGTCTTATAAGTGTAAAAACACTATTAAAAAGGACGATGTTTCTATCTTGACAAAACTTAACTTTTTCAAAAATAAGCTAAAAATGGAAACCCTCTATTTTCACTGAAAATGTGAGAAGTGGGTGTGAAAGCATGTAAATGGCAATGGACAGCTCATCAGCTGCTTCCTTTTGTAAGACAGGGTTTAGCAATCTTCTGTAATTTGTATCAAGTGGCTCAGGTTTGAAGATTGTACAGTTTCTACAACTGTGGTTACAGGGTCAAAGTATGGATACGCTCCAAAACAACTTCATTTCCAAAAACCAGAGCTTGGATGGATTTGGCTAGAGTTTACTAACTTATCTCCACAAAGGAAACAAGTCTGTTCCAACAACAACGGTGGGGAGGGGGAGGGGGAGGGGGACCCACGACATCTACAGTCCTCTGATCAGTACCATCTTTATAAGCTTTGTTAACACAACATATCAGACTAATTTATCAATCTGTTTCAAGTTACTCTCTGCAGAAGTACCATACTAAGTAACCACAAAAATAACCATCATGAAATCACATCTCTAATTCGACATTTCCAATGGCTTCCAGTTCCATGTAGCTATATAAATAACCCAGGGAGTGTTTATTACCCTCTTTCTTTCAATATACATACATACTTGTTAATCTGAGCCAAGAACATTCCTTTCAGTGCATAAAATTCAGCTGTCATCTCTTTTGTGAAGTATTTTAAATTTGTGGATTCAATAACCTCAAGGCCCTGTTTAAAAACAAGAGAGATGAGCAGAAAGTTATTGAAATTTTCACTTACCATAAAAACTTCATAGAAGTATTTTAATCTAGACAATAAATATTATAAGCTATTGACAATGTACTTTAACTATGAATATTTGGTGAATGACAGGCACTGTCTGAACCGAGTCACTGGAAGCGAAACAATCTGCGATGTAGATTACTTCCTACAACTCTTTATATAACTAGTCAGAGTCTTTTTTTTTTTTTAAACTATCCCTATGAACATAGTCCAAATCTACCTATCTTATACACTATAGTATTTTTCTTTCCTTGAGCATGTTAGCCATGAGTGTCAAATAACTGAGTGGTTTCCCTTTCCATTTCTAATTGAGGAAGGATTGTTTCCCAACACTGATACTGTGTGCATGAAGTTCAAACCCTCCTTCTTTATCACCTGACCCTCAGCCCTCAAGTGGACTCTCATGCTCCACTCGTCTCCTATATGTGTAAGAGGCGACAGTGTCCCATCAGGTCCTACCTGCATGCATTCATTTTTGCCCATCACTCCAGCCAACTGTAGGTAGCATTTAACTTGCTGCCGAATCTTCTGGAAACAATCCACGATGGGAACAGTTGGAATAGTATGGATACGACTTAATATATCGAGTGCTACATTGACCAGTCCTTGTTTCCGGGCAATTTTCCCATACTGGATGATTGCTGAAGCTGATGCGTGAACCCCGAGCATAGCATTATTTGAGCTTGGATCATGCTGAGAACTATTTTCATAAGCAGTTACAATTGCTAGAGAGTAAGGAAATTGAGTTATCAGTCCATATCATGTTTTTACAATAAGTTTTCAATTAAAAACTGAAAAACACATACATGGCTTATGAAAACAAGAAGCTCTAATAAATCTTTGTTACTTTTTTTTGTACTTTACAACTATGCCCCAAGTAAATTATAAAAGATGCAAACTACAGAGTAGGGCATTTATTTAGCTAAGTAAACCATTGTGTCATGAAGGTTATCCTAAATACCTAGATGCCCAGCAGGTTTAGGGGACCAGCTATGAAAACCAGAAACAGCTACACAGCCACCAAGAATAGCTGTCACTGGAAAGCCCTTCAAGACAGAGTGCTACCATCATTCTCTTCTGATCAGAAAAATGTGTATGTGTATGTGGGGTGCTTTGTAACATATTTCCCACTTCATCTTTTGCCTCAGCATTATCACTTCAACCTACCATACCCAACCTAAAATAGAAAATCTGGGAAAAGAAAAAAATAAAGACATGAAATCAGCACAGCGGGGCATCTGGAAAATTACATGATGAATGCATGCCGGACCAGGTCGGTTTACCCTGGTAATGGTGCTGCCTCCACATGAAGATGCTGCTCCAGTGGGACAAGTCATCAGAAACGATGGGCAGCCGGTTCCTCCAGGTCTTCACCACTGTCTTCATGTCATGGAGGCTGTTGTTCCTCCCCAGGTTAGTCGGCTGTAAACCTGCATTTATTTGTGCAGCTTCCTGAAGTTCAATGATTTGCTGGGCTGCCTGAGAAGACCAGCATAAGAGAATTCATGGTAAGTGTTATATGAACAATGTAGCTCAGACTCTAGTAATCTTGTTTCAGCCTTCCAAGCACAGGAATTACAGGCATGTGGTAACAGGGATAGAATCCGGGTCTCTGTGTTTGCCTAGGTAAGTGCTTAGACTGTTGAGCTATCTCTATGCAGAATGTAAGGTAACCAATTTGTTAGCTGATATAATGTACTTATACACACACACACACACACACACACACACTCACTCACACTGCAATACATAAATATAGAACATACATAATTATTTGTCATTTCAAAAAAGTAAAAGATGTAATGGCACAGGCCTGCAGTCCCAGCTAGTCAGGAAGTAGAGGCAGGCAGATCACTTAAGCCCTATGTTTGAGTCAAGCAGGGGTGACACAGTGAGACCTCCACTGCAAAACACAGAAAAGTAATTATCAAGGGCTGGGGATGTAGCTCCGATTTCCACCCCCCCCCCAGTAACTACCAAAATAAACTAAATGAAGAATTAGGGGCTGGGGAGATAGCTCAGCAGTCTAAGTGCCTTCCTGGAATAGGAAGTGTCTTCCTAGCACAAGGGCCTAGGTGCGGCATGCTGTGCTGGCAACTGAAACTGGGCGTGGTAGCGCACACCTGTAATCCCAGCTCTGGGGAGAGTGAGACAGGAGGATTACTACGAATCTGATCTGCATAGCGAGACCCTGTACCAAATAAATAAACAAATAATTAAAGTGTCATTATTCCTTTTAAGGGGAGTCAATTTGTTCATAACCAACTAATTTACAGATTTATCAACTACGAGTAAAGCTTTGAAAGAGAAATAGAACTGCCTTTAACTATCTCTGTAAAATATCAAATCGAGTATATTTGAAATGTTTAATATTTCATGCTTGAAATAACACAATTTTCATTTATTTGTAATTCGTTCTCATTATTTGCACTTGATATTTCTCTTGCTGACAAATCTAACAGCTCTTAAAAATAACCTTCCCTCTACTTCCATACAAAAATAACTTTCCCAATAGCTATAAGAACAGGCAACCCACCTTAACACTTTCAGAGGAAAAAGTTTACACCTAAGAAAAAGCTTTATAGAGTATTTTAACACTCTGGATTACACACAGTATACATTTGCAAAACATGACTTTAGGGCACGCCTTCAGAAAAAGCAAACCATCAAAACAAATTTTCTCAACTAATGATTCACTATGAAAAAGACTGCAGAACCAAAGTGTATTAATAAGCAACTACGTTGCTATGGTATAATACGGTTTGTCCTTTCTGAAACTCAGGGTGATATAATCCCCACTAAATTAAAGCTATTCAGAGGATAGAAACTTAATCCAACTAGAACGTTCGAGATGGGACCTTTGGGAGACAAATGGAATTGGTTGGGGTCATCAGGGCAGAGCCTCCTGGGTGAATACTGGTGCTGTACGAAGACAGACCACAGAACACACACACACACACACTTTATCTTATTATCTGATATTCTGTATCACACTCTACTAGTTAGAATATACCCAGTATGTGGTACTCTATGATTAACAAAAAACAAGCTATAATATACACACTACAATTTAAATCTTCTCAAACTACCTTTTCAATAGAAGTGCAAGTGCGACCATGCAAAATCACTACCATAGTATCACTACCAGTGTTCGTGCATAGCACTGGTGGCTGCTCCGTGCTGCACACCAGAGATGTAACAGGGACACGGGCTGGCCCGGCCCCAGAGATGCATTCACGGAGGCTGAGCAGTGGACATCTTAAGATGACACACACAGAAGAAGTTAGGGGATGAGTCATTTAACAGCAGCATTAAGAGGTTTGAGGCTGAGACCTGCTGGACTACACAGTGGGGTGATACTGCTGATGGCACCAAAGAATATCTCTCAACTAAGCGAAACTCAGAATCATTAAAAGCACTGGTAAGAATGAATCCCAAAACTGAGAAGCAATTTTTTTTTCCACTCCATTTTTTTACTCTGACCATGAATTTATTTTTTTGTCTTTTTGAGATAGGATTTCAATTATACAGTTTAGGCTGGCCTTGAACTCAAAGCAATCCTACTGACTCAGCCTCCCAAGTGCTGGGATTACAGATCAGTGCCACCATGCCTGGCTAACAATGAGCTTAAATGGAAAAGAACAGGATCAGGGGAAAGTTTCCTCTACTGTCCAGCTCAGTCCATGGACCTGGCCCAAACTCAAGTTGCTCTGCTGCAGGGCACTGAGGCTGTTGTGCTCAGGGCAGCGCGCTGTACCCACCTGCAGAAGGGGCGTGTGCACATGAGACACTACGTGGGGCAGCCGCCGCCACTCACGGATGGCCAAGCTGCTGGCCATTTCAACCAGGCGTTCGATGAAGCTAAGCTGCTGCTCTTCAGGGTGGCAGATGGCCAGATATCCACGGTACATGTTGACCTTCCATGCCATCTCTTTTGGGCAACTTACTTCTACCTGCAGTCAAAGATTGCACAGGAAGGGATAGTTATTCTTCCCTCAGCATAAAAGGACAAAACCAAAAAAGTTCCATTTCTTATGGCCAGATATATAAAGCAAGAAACAAATTTTATGACTACAGGTACAAACTTTCTTTTCTTTTTGCAGAACCGGGGATTGAACTCAGACCCTTGTGCTTGCCAGGGAAGCGCTTATCCTACTGAGCCATCTCCCAGGCCTCAAACTTACTTTCTTTAGAGAAGTCATGTGTTTATTTTAGACTGTCTTTTCCGGACACTCTCCACTGGGGAATTCTAGCACATCTAGCTATAAAAGCACATCTCATAATGGATATAAAAGCTGCCTAAGGGGAAAACAGGAATTATACTCCTGTGCTTATTTTCTATTATACACTTTATGGGCTTATGTCTAGGTGTCCCCCCCCAAAGCCTCATGCAGTCATGGGGCGGGGACTTCTAGAGTTTGAGATTAATTCATGATCAAGGCTGGGATTATGGGTGTGAGTGCTACACCCAGCCTGGGGCAGACAGCCTAAATGCAACTTAAGGGAGACAGACTTCTTCTCTGTTGGTTACCATTGTTGCTGCTACTCCTCCATTTTGCTCTCTTGCTCTTTGCCGCTGCTATGAAAGATTGCTCTCCGCAATGTGCCAGCCTGCCTTGGAGCCAGCTGAGTATGGACTGAGACCTCCAGTAACTGTGAGCTAAATAAATCTTTCCTTCCTTCATTTTAAGTGTTGGGTATTTACCCAGCGATGAGAGAAAAGTCACACTAAAATCATCATAATGGAAGTTTAGTTTAAAACAGACACGTGCAACTAAAACCAAGTTAAGTAAGGTTGATTCATTACATTACACATTTATCAATTCTACCAATGCAAAATTCTGATACACAACAGCAAATGAACTGGGCCCTGGGCTATTCTGGATCATTCTGTTACTCAGTTCCAGCATTTCTAACAATATAATCAATTCTGTTCTTACAGATTTCTCCAAGTTATTCCTTTTGTTCTCAAGGTTTTAGGTATCCAAGCTTGGCATTCATAACTGTAACTGAGTAATAGCTACTTTATAATTTCATTCAAATTTAGAGGCATTAGAAACAGCCAGAAGGAATGCTTTCCCAAGAACTGTCTCTCAAAAATGCTCAGCTAGGCCTAAGGAGATAGCACCAAGAAATAAGAGCTCCTCCTACAAGCCAGGCAGCCCAGTCCCCACTGACAGCACACCAGAACAGGAAGTCTCTCACCTGCACCAGTGCCTCCTTCATGGCAGTCCAGTTGGACACCCTCCAGGCACATTCCAGGACAAGGTAGGGGTTTATGTGACCTTTGGACTGGCCATACTCTGTCAAGGCCTCCCATTGGTTCAGCTCCTTGGAGCACCTACAAGACCAGGGTAGAAAGCAGGGCTTAGACACCAGTATTCTGTTGGGCTTAGGGTTTTCTTCACTACAGAGGGAGAGTGCTGCAGGGCAGCCTGTTATGGGAGATCCCAAGGAGCTTCACTGCAGAGAACTACCTACCCTTCATTGATTACCAAATCTGCACACCATGCGCCCAGTGCCAAAAGGCAGCGGGAATGATTTGTTTCTCCATTATCAAGATTTTAAATGTTATTCTCAGATTTTTTTTTTTTTTTTCTTTATTTGGGCCCTGTTAGGAAAAATCTCCTGGGGCTGGTGAGATAGCTCGGTGGTCTAAAGCACCTGCTCAGGCAAGCTTAGACAGGTGCGGGGGACTGCAGTTCGATCCCCGCGCAAGTCCCACTCTCAGGGTGAGCTGAGCCCTCCCCCCCAATAGAATTCTCCTATTTTTCCTTGGTTCTTTTAATTGATTCTAAAATACGCCAATTCCTGCATTCAGCTTACCGAATCCAATGGTCTTCCCAGAGCTGATATTCAGGAAAAATGGCTGGAGATGCATTACTCCTCTCATGTTCTTTTTTGGCTTTATCCATTGCTTTTTCATAGGATTCTTGGGCCTAAAAAGTTAAAGCATTCTTTTAAGCCACTTTTTAAGTAGAAACACAATTTTTTCATTGCCAGTGCTCAAATGGGAGGGGCAAGCTGAATCAGAGGGCAGTGTGTCAGAATTCTAAGACCATTTGGTGCCCTCAACTCACTATTCACAGAGAACAGAAGAGGGCGCCATGTATAAACCCCAAAGGCTATGTTTTCTAAGCTTCTGTATCTTAAGTGCCCTTTATATGCCTAGATTCGGGCTCTAACTGTGGCCCACACCACAGTGCAAGGACAAATCTGAGGATTATAATTTCAGCACTCAAAGCAATCTACTTACTATTTCCAAAAGGAAATAGTAAGTAGATCTGACAGCAGATAAAATGCACCCTAAAAGTTTTAGGAAGGGGCAGCCAGATAGCTTAGTGACTAAAGTGCCTGCCTAGGTGGAGTGCAGTGGCCAGGGTTCGATCCCTGGTGTGCCGTGCCAGCCCCGCCCTTGGGGCGCACCAAGATGGCAACTGTGACTGGATGTAGTAGCATGCACCTGTAATCCCAGCACTTGGGAGGCTAAAAACAGGAGAATCACTACAAGTCCAATCTACATAGTGAGACCCTGTACTAAATACTTATAAAAAAAGATTTAGGATTGTATTTCAAAAAGTTCATGTTACACATATAGGGTTCTTTCAAACTAAGACTTCAAGTGAAGGGCCTTTATATTATAGGATTTAAGTGCTTCAAATAAAACAGTACACTGCTTAGTCACATGAACTCTTGAGGACATGACATTAACAAATCTCTAAAAATGTCTTTCATCACAAAGTACCCAAGCTTCCCATCCAACAGTGCTTACCTGCTCAAAGAATCCATGCTGCTCGTATGCAATAGCAGTCGCCGTGTCTGAATATTTACACCGCTTCTGCCATAAACCAGCCCACATGTCTTCCTCTTGCAACAGAGAGTAGAGCTCAGCAAGGGAGTCCAGTATCTCCTGGAAACAGAACATGATTCTATTGTAGTTTAAAATCACCAGGAGATGAGCTGTGCCTACCGAAAGCATGACACTACAGACAAGAGGTAATTCAAGCACGTGCTCACCTGCTGTGGTGGTGTTATGCTCTCCTGCTCGTAGAATTCTGTTGTTTGCTTTGGTTTAATCTGCAGACTCAGACCCTTTTCAAAGGCTTGGTGCTCCAACATTAATGTGGAGCGGAACCAGAGGTTGTGGGTCTTCCCCAGGTACTTTAGAACACAGGGTCTGATAGGGATCGGGGGGACACACTGGGACATGGCCTCCACAAAGCAGTTCAGTGCACTGGGCTGACAGTCCCGCTGCACCTGGTGACTGCCACTGCACAGGAATGGACTTATCTCACCTGCCAGAGCCTGGAACCAGAGAGCACGCTGACTTAGACCTTCGTTCAAAACCCCGCAAAGCTTTATAATCTCATACCTAGGACTATTTTTGATAATTCAATCTTAGACAATACTTAGTAGTTCAGTAGTTCATCTTCTGAAAGTTAAGCCTGTATTATTTCACAAGAACTAAAAACTTTTCCAAGTAGAACTTAAAAAATATACTTACATGCTGCTGTCTATCAGAGAGGATTTTCCACAATCTGGGGAAAAGTTGGACCCAGGTTTTCTCTGCCAGTGTTGTGGAGATATGGCATAGCTGAACAAAGGCACTGAGCAGTGCTCCAGTCTAGGGACAGAAAAGGGTGAGTTCAGGTGGCCACAAGCTTGCTGAGAAGATACCAGTCATGGAATGAATGCCAAGGCAAATGGCGAGTTAGGATCCACAGGGGGATCACCCTCTGGGTTGGCAGCAGGGACAGGGGCCTATTAAGGTGCCTGGTCTATATGCTGACAGGATGTCATTTATATATTTAAGGATGCTTGTTTCCTGCTCAAGCATTTTATGCTTATTCAAAATGACAATGTTATTCAGACCCAATTTCAAACTGATTTAATGTAGAAATTCAGGATTAGTCACCAAAAAACTTTAATAGACAAATTATTTGTGATAAATAGTTTATTCTTATTTTCCTTCACCTTGCTAAGAACAGACTAATCACTGTTTCTGTGTAATATTGTTCCAAAATGATTTGCAGTATGGAGACTTAACTGATCCACTCAAAGAGTTATTATACAATATGATGATGTCAACCCATAGCCAACTAGAGGGTTTGTGGAAGTCAAGAGTTTCTATCTGGCTACATCTCAAAAGCAGAGGCATTTAGACATTTTCATCCTGCAAATTAAACTTGATTTACCACAGTAAACTGTCCTCATTTTCTTCTCTTTTGATACACTTAAAAAAAAAGACCAATCCACCATTACATCTCACTATACATCTTTAGTAAATAATTTTGCTATTTCTTCCAAGGGATAGCAGTGGATATATTAACTGCTTTTTAAAATTTTTTAGTAAGATGCTAACTACCTTCTCAAATCTTAAAACTATATAATGGATTCACTTGCGATAGAATAGACATTTAAGAGTACCTACTAGGGGCTGGTGAGATGGCTCAGTGGTCTAAAGCACCTACTTAGAACAAGCTTAGCAAAGCACAGGGGACCACGGTTCAATCCCCCAGCACCACGTGCCAGCCAGCCCTGCCCCCTGGTGGGCTGAGCTGGCCACACACACACACACA